ATATGGCATGTGCACTGTCATTGTTATTATACATACAAACACATTATAATTAATCCCATGGGGAGTCTGAAACCTCCCTCAGTACTCCTGCTCCCAGTGTTTTGGGTCACAGCACAGGAACAGACCTGAGAAGTCTTCCCACCCTGCCTTCTCTCCGCTTACTTTGGGTTGCAGCACAGGAGCAAACTTGGGCAGTCTCTTCCTACCCTGCCTCCTCTTCTCTTGCTGCTGCCAGGGTTGTGTGGCTGAAGCTGCTGATGCAAATCTGGATAGCTGCATGGTGGGATAGCCACAAGGGAGAAACTAGCAGCACTGATTGTCTGTGTGGACCAGAAGCAGCATTTAATTCCCCAAATTCCCTTGTGAATCTAGTCTGTGGGGAGCACTAGGGACAGTTCTTCAGTGCAGAGGAGCAATCTGTTACAAACATGCTACTTGATTCTTTTAAGAGCTAAAAAGAGATCAATAATGAAAATATTAAGGATCCTTTCACCTTGAATACTTAAGGGTTTGTTTAAAAGGGCAGAACGGATATATAGAGCATTCAGTGAAAGACAGAGCAAGTTATAAGAGGTGTGGCAGATCTTCCATATGAGGGAAGGTTAAATTGATTAAGAGACAGATGAGAGGTGATCTGTTAGTGGTATATAGGAGAGTGATTTGCCAGAAGAGGTCAGTCAGACAATCCTATTTAGCCTTTCCCATAAATCAAGAGCAAGTGGAGTGCTATACAATAATGCTAAAAGCTAATGAATTTAAAAGTGATACAAGTAAAATATTTTCTTACATGGTGCATAATTAACCTGGGAAATTCATCAGATACCATTAAGACAAAGAGCTTGGCAGGATTAAAAATGTATAATAAGTAATAGAAACTACATGAAGATAGAAATGTATACTGAGTGTTCAGCTATGTACTTAAAACCGTTTGCTACCTGGGGCTACAAAAAAACATCCACTGTGGGAAAGCTAGATGTAAAGATTGGGTTTCTTGCACCTTTGGCACCACAGTGGGTTGGCTAGAGGCTGAGCAATGGACCAATTGAACTGCTTTTAATATGGTCACTTTCATTTTCTAGAACTGAGGGCACACCTCCATGTACCCAAAATTGCAACCAGAAAACATTCAAAAAGCTTCTGAGACACTTCTTTGAATGCTTCTGAGCTTTGAGACAATATAGAAATTATTGGTGCCTAGATAGTCACTCCTTTTGTCCCCCAGACACGCAGATAAGAAATGTATGGATAGGAGCTGAGTATAAGAATTGTATTTTGACACAGGTGGAGGAGAATCATGAAGTTTGTAAGTCTGCCTTTTATTAACAGAAGTGTGCTCTAAAGTGGTTAGTGTTTTGTAGGTAATTAATTGGCATGTGTTCTGAATGTACAGCGTTTTATGGTTCTTAAACTTGTTAAAAATGCTGTCAGCTTCTGCTGAAGGTGTAAGATGTCACCCCAGGTTTTACAGTGTGTGTTTTTTGGAGGTGCACTGACAGCCTGCTTTTCTGTGTGATGGTGGGTTGCTTTCACTTCTGATGTATCTGTGAGGGTTTAAGAGAAAACTTCAGAAGGCCTGCAAACTTCACCATAGTGAAGAGTCTGGAAGGCAAAGTTTTACTAGTTCCTGTTTCCTCTGAGTCTACCCTGCTCTCGAGTAGCAGGGATGAGCAGTGCTGAGTGCCTGTAACAACCCATATACTGGATTATATGGGTGAATTTAGAGGAAGCAAGGTTATAGAATATGAAGTTTCTAGAAAAAAACCCAAACAAACCAACAAAAAATAAAGCTGCATAAAGTTAGCACTAAAATGCAGTGTTCTCTTTTGACGTGGCTGGCTCTGTGCCTCAGTTTCTCACACCATCGATGTGAGAACACCAGTTCTCACGTCTTGAGTTTTGAGTGCAGGTCTTTTTGACTTCAATATATGATTTGGGTGAAAAACTAAAGTGAGGGCTCATGTTTCATATTCAGTGTGCAACCAGATCTTTGTAACAAGGATCTGTAAGGAAAAAATAGGCATTAATTCCCATAGTATTTCAGGTATGTTTAGAATTATACAATTACTGAGAGTAAAAATAGTGTGCAATATATAATGATAGAGTATATTCATTTGCTGTGATAGCACAGGATGAACTGACACAAGAATGAGATTTCTGATTTAGTAGCATCCTGCAAGCATTCACTTGGTGAAGCCTACTAGTCAACAAGGGCTGTAGCACTTGAGCAGTAAAGGCTTTGGGTATGGCCCAACCTCAGCAGGCCACTTACTGGAGATTTTTGTCATTTGTTACCCTTGGGTTTTTGGGCTGTTTTGTTTTGTTTTGTTTTGTTTTGTTTTGGGTTTTTTTGGTTTTAATCTGAAGTGGATACTAGGGAAGGTCCCATGTTCTGCAAAACAAGCATTACCCTGGGCCCCATTTATGCATCCTACAAAAATAAGAACTCACGATTGAGACTTGCATCTGTGATCATGCTCAGCTTGCTTATATTCCATGTTTCCTTTCTGAAACAGGAATGCAGTGTGGGGGAACCTGCTGTGCTCTGATAATACATGCATTCCCTGAGGCTTGTCTTTCAGCGTCTTCTGAGAATTAGCCATGTAAAATCTTTACACTGCCTGATTACAGCGGTGATTGTGGTCCCAACTTACTTTCCAGCTCTCTTACAAACTCCACCCATGGTCTATATACTATGTAGTAATTGATTAGCTGAAGTTCTTGAGTGCCTTGGGCTGAATGGCAGTCTTTGGCTCTGTTGCAGCATGGGGTGCTTGCAAAAACAGGCTGAATGTTACCTGCACTGTAGCTGTCCTAGAAGAGAACTAAAAAACTATTAAAATTCACGTTGCTCTTAATATATATGTAAAGAAGAAGTGAGCTGAAAATTTGCTCAGGGATGTTCACATGTCCTCTTTTAGCTGTAGATCAGTCAGTCTTTCTCATTATTAACTCAGAAATTCTATTTTGCAGTTGAATTTCTTGAGTCAAAACCTGACAATTCTTGCAAAAGTTTAAGATTCAATAAATTAATTTTTTTTAAATTTTTATTTTAATAAGAAATATTTCTAGCTGGAAATGCCCTTTTCAGTTCTGTTACAGGTCTCTTTCTGATCTCTCTCCTTTATAGTAATCCCAGTTACTAGGACAGCTATCTTATCACACAAGTTTGAGTAGATACTCTGCATAGGGAGAAGATGCAGATAAACAGACTGATTTTCAGACATATTTTTCTCTGATCATTTACTATGAATAGTGATAGCTCCTTGCTCAAAGTATCTGTAGTCTTTCTCAAACTGAAGCTAGCTCCTGAAAAAAAACTATTCTGCAAGTCTAATTTTCACTTGCTAAAAGTTTAGCAAGGTTTGAGCAAAATTTTACAAAGTCATAGCAAATATTCTTATAAGTAACAATTGGAGGAGAAATGTGGTGGTGATACACGCCCAGAGAATTGCTCATGCTGGATGGAGACCATTTCTAAGACCCTTCTGAGGCTTAGAAATGTATGTGTCCAGCAGCAAAAGAGAGTCTGTGGGAGCCCTGACCTCTGAGCTTGGTTAACAAATTGCAAACTACCTGAGCAAAAGGAAAAAAGAAACCCCACTGCAGTTAAGGCTTGAAAATATATTTTTTTTTTCTATTCATCTTACTATCTGCTGTCCAGCTGCTTTCTACCCTGAGGGACTGATGGCAGGACTGTGGGGCTGGCTCTTTGACTAATGGTTGAGTCAGTAATTTTTCCCACTGAATTAACGTAGATATCAAAGGAGACAGGGAGAAGACTATTCTCTTGGGGAAGGGAGCAGCTTGGCAGCAAGGCACGGCTATTCCTTTCTGTTGTCAGGATGAGAAAAGGTAGACATCTGCTATACAACCCAGATGTATACACTCTGATGAGAGCCACTTATGTCCTTCCAGAACTGGCTGTCCACGTGTCAAGCTTCTATCTTTAACAAAACATTTAGTAGAGAAGTCAGCATATTTGTACAGCATTTATGTAAGGAACCCTTCAAAACCAAAGAAAGGCTTCATTCCAAACCCTCACCCCCCCAAACCAGTTGATCTTCAGAAAGATGTGGGTTCATTTCATAAGCCTTGTTTTCCTTACAAAAACAAGAAAAGAGGAGTCTCCATGCTCCAAAGAAAGCTCAAAAGGAGATTAATTAATTAATTAAGAATCTTTTCTTCTAAGTGCAACAGGATCCAAGAAACAAGTGAACTTTTCATTTCCAGTAATAGCAGAAATTACTTCAATAACATGACTGTGAGCACCCGTGGGGCTATAATGTGAGAATGGTCTTTACTAAGGAATAGACTGAACTTCTGACTATCTTTCTTCCAGTCACTTCCACAGGCTATAAACAGCGCCTGGTTTGTTGCTATTAAAAGAGTCTAAAGACAACTATGCTGAAAAGCATTACTGTTTAAGTAGTCATGCTTTGACATTAACATGAAAAATGTTTTTTTGGAAATAAAGTGAATTTGGGTTCTTCAGAACATTATAGTTTTGTTCAGAAATTGGATATTCGTGATATGGCAGATTTTTTTTTGGTTTTGTGTTTTTAGTTTTAGTTACTGGTCACTACACCTCTGTTTTGCTTGACTTTTTTAGACATGTATGAAGTCAGAAAACATCTTGTGGCCAATTATAATATTTTCTTGGTGCTATTTTTTGCCTATGTTAGCACTTGATGAAACAATCTGGTCTTAGTTAACAATCACTCCTCATTGTATGTTTGTTCCCATAAATGACTGCTCTGAGGAGCAACCTTTCACAAATAAGATGATATTTTGTAAAATGATGCTAAGTAAAAACTGAAGTAATCCATGATCTGCTGAGGTGATATTGAAGACATATCTCTTATGCACAGCAGATCTATGCATTAATCCTATGTTTTGGGGTCTTTAATTGCTTTAAATATTTGCTTCTAGATCTGTGTTTCACAGATCTTATTTACATGGTTTATTTTTCATTTTCTGAACAAATCGATAACCAGACAGACTCTTTACCACACTGGATTAGTTTTATTTATTCTCTTTGAACTTGATTAAAAAGCTGTCAAACATAAGTCTACATTTTATCAGCAGAATACTTTTACAAAACAGGGTAGGAGATGCATATAGCTGGAAACATACATTTCAAAATGAAACAATATTTGATATATTCTAGACAGTTACCCTTTTGTTTATCCATGACAACTGAAACTAACCATCAAATGCATAAATTGATTCAAGTCTAGCCAAGTAATCCTGAGGGCATATGAAAAGGCTTTTTTTTTAAAGTTCTTTCTAGATGAATTTAATGTAGTTCACCAATAAAGCATCCTCAGGAGCACAATACAAATGCTACAGAACATGAGATAGCTGGGGAAAGCGGGCAGATGTACAGTGTGATGAAGAATAAAAATGGATGTTATATTAAAATGAGCAGTCATGCAATGTCTTCATTTCATGTACTGCATTTAAGTAAGAATGTCAAAGTTGCAATTCCATTTTTAATTATTTTTTTTAGTCACTGTTATGCAAATAGTGACATTCTATCTTGTGGTTGTTGTTTTGTTGTTGTTTAGAAATATTAAATGTAATTTTTTTTTAACTTTTGAGGTAAGCGACTTGATTATTTATCATGTCTTTAACTTTCCATATTTATCAAAGGGGAAGATGAATTATCTCAGATTAGGTACAAATGATCTGGTATTACTGTTTTAATTCGTTGCTCTTAACATATATAGTTTAATACATTTTCCACAGATCTCCTCAATTATTATTTGTCTTCCTGTGCCATTGCATATGTTGGTAAACAGCATTTTCTATGGTCTTTGGCCATATGCTGTATGCTCAGCTTGCAAAAAAAAAAAAGACACTTGGAGTCTTAGCATAATGAAACTCTCAAAGGGTTAATGCAGAATACATATAGGCAAATGTTGACAATATTTTTTATTCCAATGTTTGAAAATTAAACACAAAATCATCATTAAGTTTTCACAAAATGAGGCATCTGTCACTTGAAAGAAAAAGAAATATTTCAGAAATATGTTTACAGAAATGTAAAAATATTAGACATTGAGACAGATGTGAATGCTTTCAATAACAGGCCCTGTCTGTCAGTCTTCCTCAGAGCCGAAGATCTTGCTGTACTCGCTCAACATAAGTTCAACTATCTGATTTTGATACAGCATGTGGACTGCCATGTTCCCTGTCTCCTTTTCAGGTCTAAGGAGTGTTGGTCCAAACACAATTCCTAAGCTTTGTGTTGACATAAGATTCACGGATTCCTTTGCTGCTATCCTGTTGGTGAAACGGAAGAATTGGTTAAAAAAAGGGAGATGTCAAAGGAGTCACTGTTGCTGTATATAGAGGCTCTTTTTTATTGATTTTCTTAACGTGGATTTTTTATAGTTAAGTTATCAAAGATAAAGGAAAAAGGAGGGAAGAGACAACTTCTGTCAACCTGATGGACAAGGAAAGGAGAATCAGCTCCACTCAGCAAGATGTGTGTGGGGTGGAGGTCTAGAGCCCCATTTCCAGTACTTGCATATCAGGGTACAATTTGCTGATTTCTGGTAAATGAGCATTAGTTAGTGTGTTTACTATAAGGCAATAATTTCTAAAATCATACATTTAGATACTGAAAATAGGGATTGCTCTTTATGCTAATGCAATTGAGCACTTTTGGTGTCAACAGTTTTGGTGGCTCCAGGGAGAAGCTTCTCTGCTTCTCTTGACATGGTCTCCAGCACTGAAAGAGTTAGGAAATCAAAATAAGTCCCTTAATATAGAGCTCATATGAAACACATTCCTTCTGCTAATTTAAATCCAATAAAGTTAGTATGGTCTGAAATGGATTGTGAAATTTATATAACTAAAGACTTTTGCATGCCATACCCTGACACAAATTTTCTTGAAAGACACTGAGACCACATACCTTAATGAGATGACTTAGAAAATAATGGTAAGGATTATAACCTTTGATATCCTTATTACACACAAAATTACAAGAGGAGGACTATTATTATTAAAAGTTGATCTTATGTCTGTATTAAGGCTTAATATTCTTGTGGGAATGACATTAAGGGTGGGGTATTCTGGTCTAAGAACAATATAGGTTTAATGGATGGAGTTTAGGTAGATAGTTTCACACAAATCTCTGCAGTGGTGAATATGAACTAAGTAGAAACCCATTTCCCTCAATCCTCCAGAATATCTAATATATCCTAGGTTGGAAAGACTAGTAAATGAAGATACATATTTTATAAATAAATTTCACAGCCCTACCAAGGAATGTGAACTAAACCTAACTTTAAATGCTTGAATTTATGGATGCTTCCTTAACCTGCTGGTTTTAACTCAAATATTTCAAGTGGAGAGTTGAAGCCAAGTTCTGCTTCCACCCCCCCCACCCCCCCCAACATGTCACTCATTTATCTTTTTTAAATCCATACAGCAATTTAAAAGTCATCACAGCTGTCTATTTTCCCATACCTGTTGCTGAATTTACAGCAAGCTACACTGTAAGTGAAAGAAACTTAATGAGACATAATTGTTTCAGTCACTTAAGAAAAATTTTCTTTCATGTTAGTGCATGGGTTACACAGCAAAGAGCATTGTCTTGTAGATTTCTGCCAATCTTGTTTATTAGTTTCCTTGAACATCAACAGTTGTGGGTTTTTTGTTTTTTTTTTTCCCCATATATAAATAGGAATATTTAGTTCTGCCTTATGTTTGTAACTATGGTGTCCATTGCAAAAAAAGCCACTCTCCATATGGCGCTAATAGGATTGGCTCAACTACTAATTTCTTCAAATATAACGTCCTCATTATAATTGAAAAAACAAAAAAACCCCAAAACCTCAACTTTCCTGTGGGTAATATTAGCATATCATCTCTTAGGAGTCTGGAAAGTCTCAAAAGTTAGTAGTTCTGTTGGCAAATGACTGTGTGTGCTTCTGGTGGACAACACACATTTTTATCATAATAAAAAAATGTTTGTTACAGGGGTGACTTTTTGTTACAGGTGTTTTGCTTAATGCCACTTATGCAGAAGCATATACATCAAGCGTGGATCCTCCTTGTGAGAGAAATTTGACTTCTGTTGAGATTGTTAGAAGTATTTGCAGATGACATCAGCATGGATAGAGATGCTAGTTCACCAGAAGAAAAAAACAAACCTACCTTGTGTAACTTCAGAGATCAACAGTTTAGCATCAGCTATGGTTTTGCAATGAGGTGGTGTTGGTAATGGACAGCATTGATGAAGCTAGAGGAGAAACACCATGCAGGGAGAAGATGGCAGTGGACCATGGATGAAGATATGGTCCATGGTGAAGAACGGTGGTGGTAGAGCGCAATTTACTGAAAGGAGAGGAGGACTGGCTTCCTTTATCTACAAAATTTGGAGCAAGATGCTGAGATCCTATGTTTGTTATGTAGACACAAAAAAATGGAAGATGAATGGCCAACTCCTCTGTCCTTGTTTGCCATCTTTCTGCATCAGAATTCCTCTTGTTTTTCCTGGAGATGCCATCCTGCACTCAAAGTCCTGTTTGAGTCCAGCCATTGGAGTCACCTCTCAGGAGGTGAATGTGTGGCATGAAGGAAGGGAAGATGTGCATGGTGTGTGTTGGTGATAGGGGGGAGCCAGCTATCTGTTGTGGTTCATAGTTTTGGAAAGCGGCACTAAATACACCATGTATATCTGGGGCCTCTAAGTTTAACACTAGAAAAATAATTGTTGTATTGAGAAAATCTCTTGATTATGGGTTTTGATCACCATAATAACAAAAAAATATAAACCAAGCAAACTTGGAAACATCGAAAGTCTGAGTAGTTAAAAAATCCATGGTAAAATACAGTTACTGGAGGGAAAGAAGGAATGAAGTCAATCCATCCTCAATAAAATAATTTTAAGTTTAGGACCTTATGCCTTTTTAAATTACAAATATTTACCGGTGAAATTCTATAACTAATATTTTTTTTCCTCTGTCCATGAAAGAAAAAATCAAAGCAAACCAAAACCAAATATGTACAGTTAAAGCTATTATTGTAGCTACTAGGTGAAATTGAGTTTTTGGAAGAGAAAATCCCTATAAAATGGGCAAGTATTCTTTTTTTGGCAAGAAAAAGAACAGGAAGAGTGATACACCATTTACAACATAAAAAGTGAAAGAAAATGCCAGAGCTACTTTTTGTCAAGACCAAATGAAAGGAGTAATGATCCATCAATTTAAGATTATTTTAGAAATAATCTATAATCCAGTGCCACAGATGTTGGAACTATATCAAGAAATTGTTGGGCATTATGCTGTGTAAGATTTTTTTTCTCCCAAATAAGCATGCTTCAAGAATGACATCAGTCCTTTATATCACAAGTCAGGAGATATGCAGAAAGTACAGTTCTTATTAATAATAGCAATGAAATTAATGATGTATTAAAAGAGAAGTGTATGATAGGAGGGCTCTGTGTCAGTGGCAGATTTATAAACAAAAATACTTGGAACTTATGCTTTGGCTGTTGCCAAGGCAACCATAAGTTGGAAAGCGTGTGACTGAGAGAAGGCAACTCTACAACTAAGAGGGTCATTTTATGGTGAATTTGGCTTTCTAGTTCCATTAAACCTACACATTTCAAACTCTCTAAATAAAATAATTATTAATTTTGACATTTGGAAAGCACACTGGATTATTACTTCAAAGACACTAGGTGTTAGGAAATGTTCTTCATTCATTTTCACTCCGTAATAATTACTGAGGAGGGGAAAGCTTTTCAACATTGACTGATTCCTCAACATTGTAATATTCCTAGTGCACATAAAAAATTAAAGATATCAGTATACTTAGGGAGGCAAACCCTCGTGGAAAGTGCACCATTTTATAACAAGCTGGAGAGTTTGAGGGTAGAGCTGTCCTCTGCTACATGTATTGAGAACTGCTCAGTCTTGCTTTTTTAGCCTTTTCCAGCCTATGAGGATTTAAGTTTGTTCAGTGTCAGGGACATTCCTACCCTTAGCAGAACTGGTTTTAGCCATGCCTAGTACTCTTTTCCTGTTTTAAATTATACCTAAGGGTAACTTTTCACTGATACAATCCTGCTGCTCTTCCATGAACTGGTCACATAAACTATGACTAAAGGGCAACACACTACAAAATTAGAGCATCAGAAGAGTAAGAACAGGTCACTTGGTAAAATATTATGGGCCAGAATGGCAGGTGTAGAAAACGTCTCTGAACTCAGTAAAAGGCAGAGGGATAAAAGTAGGTTTTGATCTTATCAGAATCCTCTTTACCAGCATTATGAACAATATTTGATATAACTAGGGAAGACATTGCCATGGGAGGTAGAAACCAAGATCTAACCAGAGGCCAAGGAAGATTGAAGGTATATGGGAATAAAGAAAACTGCCCAGAAAGGAGAGAAAATTACTCATTTGTGACATCTGTCTTCTTGGTATAACAATAACCTCACAGACTTAGTAATCAATCCCTCTTTAAGTGGATTATTCCATGACAGCCCATTTGGGTAGGTTTTGTACCTTTGCTGAACTGTGCTAGCAAACACTGTCACAGTCAGAGGTGCTCATTACCATGTACAAGGGGGCTGATTTGATGTGTAAGTTCCTATGAACTGCCTTAATGGATCAAAGTCTGTGCATCCCATTGATTCACTTTACCAATAATTATCCTCAAATTAGCTAATATCTGTTTCCTATATATACTCAGGCATATGCAAATGTAATGTTCTCGCTTAAGGACTTGGCCATGAGAATGTCTCAGCTGCCTTCAACTCACCTCAGCTTTAATGCTGTTAACAGCCCTTTTCACTGCTCTGTTATGGGCCAGTTTTTATGCAGCAGTTTTCTGAATTTTACTATTGCAGAGCTCCCAGCCAATTTGAACATGTTAAAATTTGAACATGTTAAAATTTGACTCATGATGAACACTTTCTAGCTCAATATTTTACATTCCTCTCCTTCCCAAATGCTGGTTCACGGGAGTTAAAAAATAACAGGTATTACATGCTTTGTTTTAGTGACAAGACATTTGGGAAGAAATCATCCAACCTTGAAATAAAATCTGTATTGAAAGCAATTCTACATCCATGCCAGTCAGATACATTGTGTGATCAACAGAGGTGTCCCAGGGGAAAACTCAGTGCGATAGACAGGGTTGATTACTTGGACCTCCTGTCAGTTCTTAACTCGTTGACGATGGCTGAGACATTCAGTACAACTTTGTTTTTTTTATTTGGAAGTAAAGTTAATATACTTACCTTAACTGTGCCAAATGTACTG